GAAGCATTAGCATTCCTACTAGAAAATGATTTTAGTAAACGACAGTATATGAACATTCGACTGCTAAATAAAGAAAGGAATTGTGACATATATCCTAATTATAACGAATTAATTAAGTGCAAGGCACTTTGCCGACCTAAAGGATAAACTGTAACTGATTCTTTGGCAGAGGTTCCTTTACAGAATCTCTTAAATCATACAGCTGAAAGAATTATTCTATTACAACATGACGTTTTAGGTGTAATGGCAGACGTGAAAAATGTTATTCTAGTTGCGAGTTATGGGTTCGACGGAACAACAGGTCAGAGTACGTTTAAACAAAGATTTCAATCTGATACACCTGAACTGTTCGACCAATCGCTGTTTGTAACAACTGTTATACCACTAAAAATGATGGATTTATCTGGACGAATTATTTGGATAAATAGCACCCCGCAATCCGTTCGATTTTGTAGGCCATTGAAAATGCAGTTTGTGAAAGAGTCGAAATCCCTATTCTGGAGCAAAATAACCAATTAGATTTACAAATTGCTAATCTAAATGATTTTGATTACTACACCGATAACGGAAGAAAAATTAATATCAGGTACGAAATGCATATGACTTTAATTGATGGAAAAGTTTAAATATTTTAACAAATACTAATTCGAATCAAAGATGTCCAATATGTCATGCAACCCCAAAACAGTTTTTAACAACTAAAAATATAAAATCTGACATTTTCAAACCAAAGCCCAATACAATGAACTTCGGCATAAGTCCGTTACACGCGTGGATTCGGTTTTTCGAATTTGTTTTACATATTTCGTACAGAATCGGAATAAAAAAATGGCAAATTAGAGAGGTGTCAGATAAAGAAGCATTTAAACTGCGTAAAAGCGAATTACAAATATCAATTTTGGCGGGAAATGAGGTCTTCATGTTGATAAACCCAGACCAAACGGCAATGGAACGTCAAATGATGGAAATACTGCCAGAAGAGCATTTCAAAATCTGGAAATTTTCTCCTCAATTACGCAAGTTGATATCGAAATGTTGCATTGCTTTAAAATAATTTTGATTGCTATTTCCTGTGAATATTCCATTAATGTTACCAAATTTGAACACTTGTGCAAAAAAGCGGCTTCATTACACATGGAAGAGGTATTTTTGGTACCCAATGTCGGCAACAGTTCATAAAGTCTTAGTGCACGGTTCAGAAATTATTTCAAATTCAGTACTTCCAATTGGCTGTTTCGGCGAAAATGCTTCAGAAGCTAGAAATAAATATTACAAGAAGGATAGAATCGCACACGCAAGAAAAAACAACAGAAAAAATAACATGTGTGATGTTTTTAATAGGTCAATGGACTCTTCGGATCCACTTTTGTCTTCCTTGTGCTTGTCTGTTAGACAGAAATTGCAAAAAAGAGAGAAATTACCTCATGACGTAATAGCGCTATTAGAACCCCCTAGTGAATTACATACCCACAAATACAATCAGCTGTCCGTCCTCTCCAAAAGATTTGAGTTCTGAGAAACGAATCAGATAGCACATACTCGGACGAGCCGAAAACGGATATTGAAATATATCTCTTTTGATTTAGATGCCGATAACTGGAGCGATTAAACCTACAAGACTTTTATAAATAAATAAGCCTGCTGAAATAAAAAATTGGACCTAAATTTGTTCATAACCATGTCAGATGGCTTATAGCCATGCCAAACTGTATTATCATTTGTTAACAAAAAAGAAAAAATAATTAGTTACTATGGTTTTTTTTGTAAACTTTATTTAAAATAAGTTAATAAATGAAAAATACACTACTTTGAAGACAGTTTTTGCATTTGGTACTTTTCAAACGGACTTCGAAACGTAAAAAAGTTTTAAGACATTTATCCATCACTTAATTGCCTTTAATTCGATATATGAAACGAAGGAATTGGTTATTTGTAACTGGAGATATGCCCTAAATAATGGAACTGCCTCTGAAAAAAATGAAAAAAATGGATATAAGATGTGGGCGTGGCAATTTACGGAAAAAAAAATATTTCAGTTAAATTAGTATAGTATGAGAAATATATGAGCAAGTTTCAGCTAGATACCTTGTTCCTACGACTTTATGCCAAAAAAACGGAATTGGGACCATAGTGCAGCCCTGCCAGGTGTACGGATTTTTAGCTTTCCGTCAAGATGTACAGATTTTTGTACGGATTTTGGGAGTGTCTTTTTCAATTTGTAAAAATTTTCCATTCCATTTTTTTCTATTAAAAAATGCGTTGTTTTCGTACTTGAGGGACTTATTTATTAAAAGCTGACTATTTTTCACCCGATTTTAAAAATCAAACATGAGAAGAGGATTTATAGGCTTTTAAAATTATGTATAACAATCTAGTGGTAGACTTCGATTATTGGGAATCTTTGTAGCGTAAGATCTAAGGAAACCCTTAATTTTCTTTATTTTTTTTACTTTAACCATCGCACATCATCTTTAATATCAAACATTATACTGTTACTCTGTAGGGTCGAAAACCTACCTGAAAAGTTTTGTTGCATGTACATAAACTAAGAGCCCACTGCTTGTTGTCTGTGAAGCAATCAATAAATAGGACTAGTGGAAATATGTGCTGCTTTATTTTATGTTCTTAAATGTCCGATTTCTGTGTTCATCTAAGTACAAACGACTTTTTTTTAAATATATTTATTGAGCTTTGTACCACGATTATTTTATTAGGAAAAATGGAAAAAGCAACAAAGTCTAAGCCGTAGAAGTTTGCACATCGATGACGCGGGTTCGATCCCTGCGGAAGTCTAGAAGAAAGAAGTCTGATGAGAAGATGTGGTGATCTACGAAATAGCTGCATAACTTCTACCGCTTAGACTTTGTTGCTTTTTAAATTTTTCATAATAAAATAATCGTGGTACAAAGCTCAATAAAACAAGTAAGAGCAGCGCTGTCTTCGGCTATGCCGAAGGCTTCATACCTTTCATGAACATCTGCAAATTTTACTTTGACAGATTACTGCTTTTGAATACATCTGCATACATCGATAGAGGAGTTACTTCTGGAGTCAGTGGAATCAATTTACTTTGATCAGAAGAAATAAATTTTTTTATCTTACTAGGCCGCGTCGGAGAACTTGTAATATGTTTTAAAACAAACGTCAGGTCCTTATTGTTAGATTTCCTAGCAGAAATTTTAGTTGCATGAACCATTAAATCAGTATTATGATCTTGTTCTGATGAAAGATCATTTGCCAGCTTTCGCTTCATTCTGTCCTTTGCGCATGTATAATTTACTTGTGGTCGTCCAATTTTACTTGAACAGGGTTTTTCATAATCTTTGTCGCTAATCGAAATAACAGCGGTTGCAGAAATCCATGTTGCGTGCTTTTCTTTAAATCTTTTTAACGATCTGTTGCAATTCGAAAGTTTTTTTGTCACATAGCTAAACAAATTTCGTATTTTTTTTCGAATGTCATCCTTTTTTTCCAAACTAAGCTCGTTGTTTTTAATCTTTTTAATCACCCATTCGAAAACAACGTCGCTTTTGCGGCCGCATTCTTCCCAAATGTTGAGCAATTCCTCGTGTTGAAATACGAATGTTTCTAAAAAATATGAAATATTTTTAATTTGAGCAAAAATGGGCAAAAATGACGCAAACTAAAATGAAATATATATAATTAGCTTTCACTTCATATTGAATTTAAGAGCAATCCGGAACAATCCACATTATTTTTTTCCTACCAAACACCGAAAAGTTTTCAATTTTTACACAGAATATACGTTCACACAAAATGCTATATTCCCCAAGTACTACATCACTGTTCACATTTTTTTTTAATTAAGTCATAATTTAGATACCTTGGCTAAAGTTTTGCATTTTATTTTTTTTTACTAATTCACAACGCTTTAAATTTACACTTGTTTTTGTTTACAGCTTTTCCACACAACAGTTATTGTTAAAAGAAACAATTTCAATACTTCCACTTTGACAGCTTATATTAGGTACAGTGTTGCCCCCAACACTTTTAAATTTTTTAATATGAGTTCCCTGACGCGTTTCTGTTAAGAATACGTACTTTTTTTGTAAAAATCTATCAACAAGTTTCTTGACTTTATGCCAAAAAAAACGGAATTGGGACCATAGTGGGCTGGACGGAACATTTGTAAAACTTGAATTCGTTTCTACAAGCAGAGTTTTTAATTTGTTTATGAGAATATTTTTCAAGACAGAAACACACGCGGATGTTTACCATTGTCAGCCGAGGGGTAATCGCTGTCTAAAAAAAAAACATTTCTATTTTGAAATGTTACGAATTCACGTCGGCAACTTGTGATAATGATCCGAACATTGTCGGTAACTAGTTACAAAAGAGGAATGTCATTATTTTCTTAAAATTTCTGTTGAATATTTCAGTGATTAAAAATATGCTCACAATTTCAATCACAATGCATTTACCACTTAACATTTACTTTACTTTATTTGCAAGTGCAAAAAATGTTTTCGGACTTTGGCAGTAATGAAATTAATCGTCTGAGTCTACGTATGTATGTCCCATTGAACAGTTCATCCTCCTGGTTGCATCAACTCTTGAACAAATACAAGTATTTACCTTGGCTAAAATTGAATCAACTCTTTGCAGAAGTTACCCGTTTCTCAGTTTTAAATTCAGTTTATGGTATTATGAGTAGTTTTATAATTACAAGAAAAAGGTTTCGAAGCAAAAATCGATAAATTTTATTCGATATAAAAATAAACTATCTAACTTTAATGAACTAAATTTCAATGCACAATACCCTGATATCTACGAAATATACATAATAAATTTCAGAACCTAAGTGAACTCGGTAAGCTTTGCGTGTGTATGAGAATATGTATGTATGTATTATTTAATATGTAATTTCCTAGTTTACGGGGTAACGGGTAAAATATTTCCAAAAAAGTAGTTATTGGTAACATTAATGTCATTTTTAAACATATAGGTATACATACGTACGTATAAAACTTAATACAAAATATAACCATAAAATTTAGTTAAGCTACACTTAACAGCAAAAGTCTCCGTACACCATTTCTTTTTTATGTATTCACAATATATTGATAGCTACTATTTGTTTGTTATTATTTTATATCATGCTTAGGACTAAATCATATACCCAGTTTTCAAGCTTTTAATCAGATTAACAAAAATCTCACAATCTCACTTTGAAATGGGGTGCTATGGATATGACCAATGCTGTACATATCACTGAGCACCCGAAATGTGTCAGTGATTTTTTTTAATTTCCAATATTTTCAATTTTAAATATTTTTCTTTATGTTTTTGTTTAAGCATGGCTCTTATTTCATAAACCATTTAAATTTTTTCAAACTTGATAGCACTCTAAAAACTGTCTTCCAATTTCAAACCTTTTAACCAGAGTTTTTTTTTATAAATATTTCGAGTATTTAGTTTTGAAGCCCATAAAATTTTGGTGTAGTAAAGTGTAACCTTGCCCACTGGGAAAATAGGTAAGCACCTTGCGAGGTAAGCCATGTTTTCTTTCAGTTTTTAGTACCAAAATTGTCATCATGGCCAATGTCATCTACTAGTAAAGGGCAAAATGAACACCTCCGAAGACACATTACGTTGTCAGTTGCAAAATAACGTGCAGCCGAAGTTATTTCCAAGCACCGAACTACTCCGAGCGACTGCTCTGCATTACACGTAACTTACTTTGTAAAGCGGCTCAGAAGTATGTCTGATACCAAATGTACATTCTAAATTCCTACTTACATAAGGCGGCCATGCCTTTGTAAAAGTAAGGGACGTTCGGCAGGGAAATGGTAATGACTGCCAGGTGAAGAGTAAGTTGCTAATAAGGTATTATTACGTGCTCCTAATTCCCACTGGGTGCATCTGAGTCTATGTATGTATATATCACCGTTTTTCTCATTTTGTCACAGGACTTAGATTTTTGAATATAAGTAACACAGAAATACCCATTATATGTTACAAATATAAGTTATTTTTGAGAATAACGGTTTTAGAAAATGAAGGAATAACCGACACTTTATATTCCTAATTTTAAAGCACAGTTTATCTCAAAAATTAAATTAGTGCAAAACAAATGGCTATTTAAAAATAAAATGAAGTATTTTTTATTTACAAATTGTATGCGTGCGTTTTTTAATCACAGTATTTAAAGAAAAGGCTCTATATTCTACTTCCTAGAACCAGCTCAAAACTAACCATATTTATTCTAGCCCAGAGGTGACTCTTTTTGATCTATCTAGGAACTGTTGTTATATGAACTGTCTAAGAACCATCAAAGCCAGAATCAGCACAAGTTCAAAAGTTCTGCAGAGGGCGACAATTGTCACTTCGTAGGAAACCGCCATGTTAAAAAATACAGTTCAAAGCATTGATTTGCGATAGATGAAGAACCAGTACCGTCCCTTTTCAGGCTAGCTCAGCGCAAGTTCTGAACCAGTTTGGTTTGCTGCAGGGTACATATCATATATGTATATTATACATGCCTATTATTTATAATAAAAGTCATGCCAATTTATAAAACATGTTTCACCGTTTAAATTCAGCCTTATCATGAGCAGTGTTGCCAGAATTTTTTGGGTCGACCGTCTATATTGGCAAAAAAAGCGGCTAATATGTTTCAACTTAAATTGATATGTTTTATTAAAAGAAAGCGCAAATAGAAAGATCAGTAAAATCATTATTTTTTTTAGCTAATAAGGGTTATACAAAGCAAAGCTTTACACCACTCGTTAAATAAATCACAAAAACAGAGAATGGTAAATTCATTACAAACTATTTTTGTTTAGCGAAAGAAACTGTCGTTATACGTACATCAGAAGTCGTGTTTGTATTACTTAAATATAAAAAAAGAGATCAATTACAAACGTATGGTGTTTTCTTCTTTATTAAAGAATTTTCGAGCGAGCGAGTGAGCAAACTCCTACNCTTCTGAGCCGCTATACAAAGTAAGTTACGTGTAATGCAGAGCAGTCGCTCGGAGTAGTTCGGTGCTTGGAAATAACTTCGGCTGCACGTTATTTTGGAACTGACAACGTAATGTGTCTTCGGAGGTGTTCATTTTGCCCTTTACTAGTCGATGACATTAGCCATGATGACAATAGGTTTGTTCGTCGAGCAAAAAATTTGTACGAATTTGTACGAATTATCACGATTTTTGCCCAAATCGCGTTCGTGCAGACCAAAAACACTCAAAAATTGTGAGAGCAAAGTGACAGTTCTCTTGGAGAGAAGTTGCAAATTCTTGCTGGAAAAAATTTTGCCAGCAAGAATTTGCAAACACGAAAAACATGTGGTTGTGGCGCATG